TTATATTATATTATATTATATATATATATATATATATATATAAATGCAAAAAAAAATTAATCGATTGAGTCATTAAACCACTTTTTAAGTTTTGTTAGCAGAAGAAATAAAAAACCAACAAAAATATTTTAAAAAAAAAGCCTAAAATATAGATAAATTAAAATTTTAAAAAAATCCAGAATGATGAAGGGATAATAATTTTTTTTTATTTTATCGATTTTTAAAATCCAATCTTATGTATTGGCATATTCTGTATTATCATTGCATAAAATGTAGCGATAAACAAATAATGAGCTTATACAAATTATATTAGGGAGATCATATTTATATTATATATTTGTATAATTTTTGTAAATAAAAAAATAAAATAGAATATAGAATAATTGATGTAATAAAATATAAAAATATTATTACTAAATAATATATCATGCAATATTATCCATAAACTTTTTCACCTTCAACAATCGGGTATATGAATAGTGTATCCTCTTCTTGGTGTCTCTCAGCGAAGAGTGACACATAGATTTGTTGTGGCATTAAATTAAAGGGTAGTATTGTAGTAATAAATAAGTTGAAAATATCTGAATGTACAGAAGGCATTATCCGTGTGCGCCAAGCATTTGGATGATGATGATTTTATCTAACGGCTTCTACTCGTAGCTTCTATCTCTATAAATGCTCCAAACGCCACTTCATCTTTCACACACACACACACACACACTAATGCTAATGGATGACATTTCCAACCTCATCAATTTCAACGAGTTGATACCCGGGTTACCGAGCGACCTCGGGCTCGAGTGCCTAACTCGCCTGCCCCACTCGGCGCACCGACTCGCCCTCCGAGTCTGCACCCACTGGCGCTCCCTCCTCCAGAGCGACGCCTTCTTCCGCCACCGCAAGAAAACCGGCCGCACCCACAAAGTCACGTGCCTCGTCCAAGCACGTGAGCAGCAGCAGCCGCACCAGAAGCCCACGGGGTGCGTGCAACCGTGTTACGGGATCACGGTCTTCGACCCGGAGGCCATGGCGTGGGACCGGGTCGACCCGGTTCCGGATTACCCCTTCGGGTTGCCCCTCTTCTGCCAGGTGGCCAGCTGCGACGGGAGCCTTGTCCTCATGGGGGGGTGGGACCCTGCCACGTACGAGCCCCTCACGGCGGTGTTCGTTTACGATTTCCGGACGAGCGAGTGGCGCCGGGGGAGGGACATGCCGGAGAAAAGATCGTTTTTTGCGATCGGGTCGGGGATGGGTCGGGTTTATGTGGCGGGCGGGCATGACGAGAATAAGAACGCGCTGGCCACGGCGTGGGCCTATGACCCGAGGGGCGATGAGTGGGCTTTGTTGGGCCGGATGGGCCGGGAGCGGGACGAGTGCGAGGGGGTTGTTGTTGGGGGAGAGTTTTGGGTTGTGAGTGGTTATGGTACCGAGAGGCAAGGGATGTTTGATGGGTCGGTGGAGGTGTTGGATCTCGGGTCGGGTCAGTGGAGGGTGGTGGAGGGGGTTTGGGAAGCGGGTCGGTGCCCCAGGTCTTGCGTTGGGATTGGGAAGGATGGGAAAGTGGTGAATTGGAGAGGCTTGGATCCGGGGCTCAGGGTTGGGGTTTGTGGGGTTAGGGTTGGGTCCAGCTTTGTGTTGACTGGATCTGAATACGAAGGGGCACCGCATGGCTTCTATTTGATGGAAATGGAGCAAGGGCAGAATCGTAATTTGAGAAAAATAACCGTGCCTGATGGTTTTTCTGGGTTTGTTCAATCAGGGTGCTGCGTTGAAATATAATTAGTCGGGGACTCACTTGTAAATATGCTACTTTCCGGAATTTGAAAATTCAGATTTTTTTTTTCATTGTTCAAATAGAGGGAACAGAAGAAAACAACCTTTACTATTTCTAAGGTGCCCTTGTGCATACATGCGAGTGCTACATATATATATATATTTATTGTTTTGAAAATCAAAGCATTGAGATTGATTTTGGTGTAAATAAGAAAGGGATAATTCATATATAATTAGGTCATGAGTGCTATTGGACCAATATGTATAGTTTTGGCAATGGACCAATTAATGGGAATGCGATGAACGAGTGGAATATATTGCTCTTCCCTAGTGAGTACTGTATTATATTATGAATTCTTGAAAGAAAATAGTGAGATTTTGAGAAGCTGGCACTTCAGATCATGTGATTGTGACCATTGCTTGTATAGTTGCAGTGTCGGTGCTGGTTGATGAGCGTAAGGTCTGTTTCACGGAGTTCCCCGTTTCTCCGCTCAAAATGTCTGATTTCAGAGTTATTGTGACCATGTTTCAGATAAATGTGTTATTTTTTTTTTTTTTTTAAAGTAACTATGATATTTATAGTAAAAAATAGTGGCTAATTTTTCTTGAAGAATGTGAGTGTATACAAAAGATACAAGCTAGAATTCAAACAGTTATTTAACAAATTATTTAAGCAATCATCTTGTCCTTATGGAAACGACGTCATATTCACACATGAAATACATGAAGAAATTTTTAAGAGAGTAATCCTTATGACACTCGCAATTTGTGTAATCCAATACATTTATTCTCTCTATCATTATAATTTTAAGTGTACTTATGTAGCTAGTGTTTTACTCTATTCACATTTTTCAACACTATTCAATTTAATTTTGTTTTTCATCTTTTCTTTTCAAAACAATTATAATGTGGTCAGGCTAACAAAGAAAATATTGTTTTTCTAGAAATTAAAAACACCTCGGGTTAAGGAGAATACTAGTTGTATTATTTTTTATAATCATTTTTAGATTTTCCCAAATCACTTTTTTCAATTTAAAAAATTTGCACCTTTCTTCTACTTGTCAAATATTTTTTTATTTGAATAATTTCTTTAGCAGAGGTTACTTACAACTCTGTGCAAGTGCTTGGGTTATCATTAACTTTTTTGATATTTTTGTGGGTGTAACATACTTATATCAAATTTAGAACCCTTACTTATAAAGTGGGTATAATGTATGCCCACACCAAATTTATAACTTTTTTCACTTATTTTTTTACTAAATTGTTTTCTTTATTCCTAAAAGTGTAAGGTAATAATTTATTTTTCCGATAGGTTCGGATTCTAATAGAAGAAATTTAATATTTGGCTGAAATGTTAAAAATAACAATAATTTTTAGGTTGGCTTTTTGACTAGTGTCTTAAACAAAAAGTAAAATTACCTTGGTCATATCTTAACACACAAATAACTTAACACAATTGCAAAATTTAAGCAAAACCAATTGAACATAAAAAAATGTGGACTATCGATCCGTACTATTTATGGGTTTTTCACTCACTAGCTAAGTTTTTCTTTTTTGAAAAAATAGTTACTTAAGTGACCATTGAGCGAGTATATCAATATAGAAACAATTTGAAATAATAAAAATAAGAAAGGAATACATAAGTTACCCATTGGGTTGCCTCCGAGCTAGCATTTCCTTAGCGTCACTAGCTTGACAGATGACGGAACCTTTTGGGGTTCTTGAATTCCATTTAAAGGTCTATATTTTCTTTCAACTTGCCCTAAAGATAGGGCTTGACCTTTCCTTTTTCACCTTGTAACATCTTTTTAAGATTGGATCATCTATCTTAATCCTTTTTTCAGTTGTGTATCTTAATCCTTTCTTCAGTTGTGTACCGTTGATGACAATGGGCCCTAATCACTTGGATTTCCGTCTTCCTTAGAAAAATTGGAACTTAGTCTAAAGACGGTATACTTGTTGCCCATGATAGAAGTTCCTTTTCTTTGGAGTTGTTGCTCTTTAGGTGGGTTTGTCAGTCCTTTCCTTTTTTCCTTCTTAGAGTTTGTCTCTTTTATTTATTTTATCATTAAACAAACTCTTTGCTCAAGTAGTTGACTCTTTCTTTCAAACACATAAAAAGCCACCACTTCATCTTGCATTCTTAACTTGAACTTACCATTTGCCACATTAATCAATGCTTTTGTAGTCATCATAAAAGGCCTCCCCAAAATGATAGGTACTTGCAAGTCATCCTTTATGTCTATAATGATGAAATTAGATGAAAAGATAATCTTATCTACCTTCACCAACATGTTCTTTATAAAATCCATGGGGAAATTTGATGGAGCGATCGACTAGTTGCAATGTCATGCATGTAGGCTTGATTTCCACTTCTCTAACTCTAAATAACATATATAAGGACATCAAGTTGATGTTAACCCCTAAATCAAGCAAAAATATTCCCACTAAAAGATTCCCAATGGTGATGGGAATAGTAAAACTACTAGGATCCTTCAACTTCAGAGGTAAAGTTTTCTAAATGATAGCACTGCATTTTGTTTCCAATTCAATAGTGTTCTCTTCTATGAACTTCCTATTTTTTTTGTTAATAGCTTTTTCATAAACTTAGCATATGTAGGCATATGCTCCAATGCCTTATAGAAATCTAAGTTAATTTGGAGCCTCTGAAAGATATTCATGAAGCGAGCGTATTGCCTCTCTTTATATTTTTTTTGTAGGCACTAAAAGGTGAGGTAACTCTTTTGTTATTATAGGAATCTTACTTTTTTATTCTCTCACTAGTTGGTGTTCAAGCTTCCTCTCACCTTGTCCTCCACCCACATTTTTTTTCCTATTTTTTTTCTTTATTTTTTTTTTCTATTTCACTCTTGTTTTCTCCTCCCTCAACATTTTTCTCTTTTGCCACCACCTTATACTCCTTGCCATTTCTTGTAACCATGACACTACAATTTTCTTTAGGATTGGTTTGTGTGTGAGCAACAAATTAACCAAAAAAAATTTCTTCCATTTGGGTAGAGAGTTGCCTCATTTTAATCTCCAAATCTTTGATTATGGCCTGTGTATTTTTCTAGTTAATAGTGAAGGTTTGTATGAATTGATTAAGGGTATCTTCCAACCTTGTTTGGCAATCATATAAATTAAGCTCAGGTGTTACGAGAGGTGCACTAGAAGTGTCTGCACTGTTCTGATTCCATCCAAAATTTTGATGTTGTTGTTTCCCTTCTCTATATCTTCCTCAATTGATTATGTAGTTAACCTCTTATTGAGGTTCCTTCACTACTACTCCACATTGTCCCTATAAATGTGTGCCTCCATAAATTTCACACTCACTGATATAATATGCAGAAGTAAATGCAAATGTCTAAGATTATAGTTGTTGGATTTGTTGTGACAAATTTTCCATTGTTTTGTTTAGTATCTCAATTTATTGTACCGAGAGTTTGTTTTGGGCCAATATAGCATCACTAGGACCCAACTCATACACTCCCTTCCATGGTGCAAATCTCATCCTATGGGATCCATTGTGACTACTGGAAACATTGTTTACGATGACGACTACTTCTTCTGGTGCCTTGCAATTAATATTTCCTCCAACTAAGGAATCCAAAATAAGCTTAGTATTATACAATAGTCTGTCTGAAAAGGCACACATCTGGTCCATATTATCAAATCTATGGTTTGGTCACTTCCTCAACAAATTCTGATATTTGTCCCATACTTCTGACAATGACTCATCTGCCTCTGACTGAATGTTGTTGATGGCCATCTTGCATTACTTAATTTTCTCCAGTGGAAAGTACTTCCCCAAAAACTTATTAGCTAAATCATCACATGTAGTGAAACTACTGGGTGAGAATGACTGAAGCCAATGACTTGCTCTTTCAAATAGTGAAAAAAGAAATATTGCCAACCTGATGGTGTCATTTAGAACACTCTGATATTGCATAGTGTTGCATATCATGATGAATTCAAAGAGATGTGTGTGAGGTTCCTTGTTATTAACTCTAGAAAAATGATTCCTCCTTAGCAAGTTAAGTAACACTGGCTAAATTTTGAATTGAGTTATTGTAGTTGTGGGTCTGACGATATTGTTAAACTCTTTGGGGGCCATGATGTGCCATTTTGCTAGTTATTGTTCGTTGTTAGCTATCGTCCTCCTTTCTGGTTGTGGATTAGTAGTAGGAGGAGCAATAGGATTGGGATTAGGATTTTCTCTTTCTTTTGCCATTAGTTCAGACGATGAAGTGCTTTGGCTTGCTAGAAGTTGTCTTCTTCATAGAGTATTGTTTCTTCTGCAAGTCCTTTCAATTTTTGGATTGTAGTACAACTCTACGAACAAAGTTTCACCTCACATTAACAAATTCAAGCTAGAGAAAGAACAAGTGAGATCTAATAAATAAAAAAAATAATAATGAACAACAAAATTAAAACATAATATAACATCGTATTATAATTAAACAATTATAAGAATCAACTCTTTGACAACGACATCATTTACTTGATATGCATTTAGCAAGTATATCAATTGTCGCAGGTAGTTATATATATAGAAGTCCAAGTATTGAATCCACGTGAACTTGGGTTTATAATTATATAATATAATTTTGGTAATAAACACATAATTTAATGAGAATTGAAAATTTTCAACAATAAATGTTTAAATTTAATGAAAAAAATAAAGTAATAACTTTTGGATAATTTGAATTAATAATAAGAACATATTGATTCACTAACTTTTCTTATGTAAAATCTTTTAATTTTTCATTCGATGTTATAATTATACAGTTAATTCGATAACATATAACTATATTTAAACTCTAATTTCTTAAGTGAAAAATTCTAGATTTTTAAAGAAAATTTCAATTCCTTGATAATTTTTTGTCAAACAATTACCCATTAAGGTCAAAATCAAAAGTTAATTAATAAAATTTATCATAATTTAGCGATAATAAATGTTATCGATGTATTATCTAAATCGTAATTTTAAAAGAGGTTTCACAACAAACATTAAGTAAAAGAGTAAAACAATTAACTAAATAAATATTTTGTTATGAATTTAATTATAATGGACTTACAGTGTAAAATTTTATATTATTATTATTATTTATAAATTGTTAAAAATTTTATTACAATGTAATAATTATTTTGAACTTGTCATATCTATGTGAAAAAATTCCGATTTATTTGTAATATAATTTTTTTCTTCATAAAATAATAAATAAATAAAAATAATAAAATAAAAGTTGTGGACAGAGAACAAAATTTGTGCACCAATTTAGGGAGGGAGCATTTGACATCAGACAAGGCATATAAATAGGGAAGGTGGATGAGAGGCGTGTTTGGGTTTGAGCGCTGTGAGTGTAAGAATCCAAGATTTGATTAGGGAAATTAGAATTTAGAAGAACCAAACCCTCCGAAAACCCAGAACCCTGTTTCGCGCGTCAATGGATTTCCAAGTGGTTGTTCTCGGCGGTGGCGTCTCCAAGAAGCTCCTCCCTCTCGTTTCGCAGGTTCCCAACGGAAATGCTCCAAACCAAACGAATTTCAATCTTCTTGTATTGTACTAAGCGCTTATTTTCTGTTTGCAGGAGCTTCCAAACGCGTTACTTCCGGTGGCGAATCGTCCCGTTCTCTCTTACGTGCTCGAGTACTTGGAGCTTAGCAACCTAAAAGATCTCATTGTGGTAATTCATTTCTTGCAACCATGGATGTTATTGGAGAGGGTAAATAGTTAATTAGTAATGGAATTTAATAATAGGTGGTTGAAGGCGAAGAAGTGGCTCATCATGTTGGGGCTTGGATTTCAAGCGCTTATGCTGATCGCCTCCATGTTGAGGTAATAGCTTCTTTAGATACTACTCTACCATTTACTGAACATGATTCATGGCCTTTATATATCTCGTAAAGAAGGATATGTAGGTCTCAGGTCCTGTTTGGATGAATAAACTTATCAATTAGTAAGAAAATAAGAGAGTAAATGAATTAAACTTATGCACTTCAATTTTTATTGAAGTTCTTTTATCTGTTATTTTCAAAAGGTGATGTGCATAAGTTGATTTAGGATCAGTTTGGCGAGAAAAAAATTACGAAAGAAAAGTAAAATAAACTTCTTTATAAGCTAAAACTAGTTTATGCTTATATTAGTAATAAGATTTTGGAAAAGTTAATAGAAAGAGTGTCTACAAATTAAATTATGCATGAATTTTATCGTATGGATAAGTTTATTTCATTTTTTCTTTCTTATTTTTTTTTCTCCCATAAGTGTTTTTGGAGAATTTTATCCAAACAGACCCTTAAATGTATGGAAGAAATTTGGTTCATTTTGCTCTTTATTTTTCTTCTCTTATAGGTGGTTATTGAAAAGTTTATTTAAACATGGTTTTATTTAGTTTTTACCTTAAAAGTATTGATAATCTGTCCAAATTTGTGATGATTTTTGTGTTTAAAAATGTACCAGGTTGCTTCAGTTGCCGAGGATGTGGGAACTGCAGGTGCAATACGGGCCATTTCACAGCACCTAACTGCCAAAGACATTTTGGTGGAATATCCCTCTCCCTTGCCCCTTAACTATTTGATTTAAATAATGTTGTTCATTATTGTTGTGCTGATTTTCTGCAGGTTGTCAGTGGTGATCTTGTTACCAATGTGCCACTTGGAGCAGTTGCAGCTACTCATAGACGGCATGATGCAGTTGTCACTGCTATGCTTTGCCCTGCTCCTGTAAGTGGACCTTTGGAGTCAGTATCCTCTGGTGGGAAGGACAAAACTAAGAAACCTGGCCGATATGATTTGATAGGGCTGGATCCCACTAAACAGTTTTTAGTTCACATAGCAACTGGTTAGATATCAAGCTTTCACTTGTATATGGCATTTTATTGTTGTATGTGTGCTCATATTGAATCTTGCAACTCTTTTCAGGAGCTGAAGTTGACAAAGATCTTCGAATTCAGAAGAGCATGCTCCCTGCAGTTGGCCAGGTACTTTTCTTTTTCCTTGTCTCTGGATCTTCCTAGTTTGCTCCTCCTGCCCATAGTTTCTCTAATGTTACAAGTCTATTAGACTTCTAGTGTGAGATTTAAGTGTCTAATCTATAACAATACTTGCAAGTTTCATCTGCTATTTTCAGTTACTGCATCTTTTATTCATCACATTGACCAACTTTATTATTGGAGTTCTTTTCTGTTTGTGTGGAGATGAAAATGATTATTGTGCTTTCAGATTAAGAACAGTCTCATACAAATAGCATTTTCTGTGAAAATATGAATTGGTGATCTGAGCAATAGAAAATTAAATGCAAGACTTTTGCAAATTCTTATTTCTCTTTATTTTTATTTCTCCTACATGTAGATAGAAATAAGGGCTGATCTAATGGATGCTCACTTGTATGCATTTAAAAGGTATATTCATTTACTCTTTTCAACTTTCTTGTTTTGTCTTAGTCTTGAATTACTCATTTTTGTATCCTGAAACAAACTTTTCTTGCAGATCAGTTCTACAACAAGTTCTGGACCAGAAGAGTTCATTTCATAGCTTAAAGCATGATGTCTTGCCATATCTTGTCCGGAGCCAACTGGTTAGTTGTTAAAGGCTTTTGCAAATATAGGTTAGGGAATGCTTATACTTTTAAGGATTCTGAGTCTAACCTGGTTCGAATTTTCTAAATGAGAGTTAGAAATCAGAAGTATTATTAAATGGTGTGCCACAAGCAGAAGAAAATGGAAACGGAAAGGTTATTTCTCAAAGCAATGAACAAGTGCTATCTCAAATACTTGCTAATGCATCTGAACCAACCTTTCATCTACGTCATGCACTGGATCCTTATGGCACTACTTCCGTTCGAAAAACCCATAAATGCTGTGTGTATATAGCTGGAAGCAGCAAGTACTGTGCTCGCTTAAATTCTATACAAGCATACAGTGACATAAACCGAGATGTGAGTTTGTTATTGTTATGACCTTTATCAGGCACTAGATATTGCCTTACATGTTCATCTTTGGGCTTCTGCTTGCTTAGGCATTATTCATTTTTTTTTTTACCATGACAGGTTATAGGAGAGGTTAGTCATTTATCGGGGTATTCCTTTTCTGCTCAAAACAACATTATCGATCCTTCTGCAGAGATTGGGGCTAAAACCACTGTGAGTTAGTTACTTAAGTTGTGTGGTCTGATATACTGTTTCTGAAGCATTATTTTTGTTATTCATTTTTAAGTTCATATAAATAGTTGTGATTTCTTTTAGGTTGGACCACATTGTATGCTGGGGGAAGGTTCACAGATGGGTGACAAATGCAGTGTGAAACGGTCTGTCATTGGCCGTCACTGTCGGATAGGTGCCAATGTTAAGGTGGGATGATATATTATTTTTACAAGTTAGCAGGAAGTTAGTTTTTGGTCTTTTGATTTATCTGTGATGCTATGATCTCCAACCCCAATGATTGGTCAGCAACACTGACTTAGCGTCTTTCTAATGAGTTATATTCAATAATGTTAATGCTGTTTTTTTTTCTTGCTTTTATGCATGAAGGTTGTTAATTCAGTAGTCATGAATCACGTTACTATTGGAGATTCTTGTTCAATCCAAGGTTCTGTTATCTGCAGCAATGTACAGCTCCAAGAACGTGTTGTACTAAAAGATTGCCAAGTAATTCGTTTCACCCTTTTCTGGTTATTTTTCATGATTGCAACTTGAATGGGAATGTGACATTGCCTGTCTTGGCAGGTTGGAGCAGGTTTTGTGGTCACTGCTGGTAGTGAATGTAAGGGGGAGGTCTTGGCTAAGAAATGAAACCGAGATGTGAAAATCCAGGCTGGGGAAATACATAGCAAATTGACTTTTATTCTGCTTCATAATTGCTTGGAGCAAATTTTGTGTGTTACTGGCAGCAGTTTCAATTTGGTGATCCCGACAGGAGCAATGAAATTCCAATACTTCCAATTTGTGTGTATGTTCTGTGCAGTTTCTTTCTCCTACGATTAATGTTTGAAAATGGCTGCAATCGGTGTTGAATATGTATCTGTGTAAATGACTACTACTTCCTCTTCACAATTTTCTGCCATTTAAATGCACGTTACAAGGGACTTTCGGTTGGTTTTTTACTGCTGTACTAAAAGCGGTATAATCCAGCGTCATCAGTTTTGTATTCGAGTAATTGTTACTATTGAATGATGCATCTTGTTTGTTTTTTGTATTTTGTTTTTGTTTGAGATCTAGTTATGATAATGTTGATGAAATTCTACGTGAATTGATCCTTGCTTTGTAATTCGTTTAAGCTGAACTTCTTTCGTCTTTGTGCGGGGGAGGGAGGGGTGATTTTGAAAGCTTTTATGTTTGCAATCAGCAGAACATGTAATTGGATTGAGATGAGAGGTGTGCGTGTATTTGCAATTACTAAATGGTCTATAGAAAAGCGCGAGTCTCATTGAAGCCAATTTACAGAGTTGTTGGTAAAGGTCAACATATACATTTTGGTTTATCCAATATCAGTATCTTGATTTTCTTCAAGAGCACCCTTATAGTGTCTGTTTTAGATTGCTTTCACTGCAAATTGGCGTTTAGTAAAGAGGACATGTGGATATAAATTCTTGAAAGTGGTTTATTTTAACAATAGAATTATTATTTTTATGAAATGAAGCTTTTATGTTTGAATATATTTCGTAAAACGTGATTTTACAATAAACGACTTTCTTTTTCTATGGTAAGATTACATAAATTTTATCTGTAGGAGTATTTAAAGCAATCAATTGTTGGAGATGAAATAAAATAATTTAATAACTTTTAATCATAAGTTTCAATATTATTTATGACAAAATTTTAAAATAGTTCTTGGAACAGTTTTTTTTTTTGGTTTCATGAAAATAGACATGAAATGGCTTCTCAATTGTTGTGGAAACCAAAGATATAGCAAACAATTGCTAGCTTCTGTACAATTCATTTCTGATTTCCCAAAAACATTAAAAAAGAACAAAAACAAATAGTTTATCCGACAAGTTTCCGCATTTTACTGGAAAAACTATCATAATGATAAATATTTATTTTTATATTATTAAAATTCATATTATTTTTAAATATATAAATTACATTTTAAATTTAGAATGAACAAATTTAAATTGCAATATAATGTTAATTTTAATAATGGCAACATTTAAAAATATTGAAATTCACTTTAGAAATAAAGATAAAAAAAGGATAAACTGAACGTATACGGACACAAATAAAAGATATTAATTCGAGACAACTTTTTGGCTAGTTACACAGCAATACGTGAAATGCATCTCTAAATTTGAGAATAAAAGAGAATATTAAGAATGTGTAAAATTGAGAGGGAGAGTCACCCTCCAAGGTTTACCATATAGGAGTGGATATTTTACTGGAAAAATGTTCCTTGAATAGTTATTGATATATTCCACTATTATACATTATCAAGTTATCATAACGCAGGCAAATAAGAATCAGTCTTAGATTATTTTGGTGGGTTTGTAATGTCATGTCTCAAACCAAAGTCTCAGCGCATTGCACTCTAGGAATACACTACAGTATAATTTTTCATACCAAAAAATTTGATTACAAGCCAAGAACTTCATCCTCTTCTTTTGTGAATTAATAATGTCGCTAAAGTCTGCTCTGAATTGATAGCTCACGCTTCATTTGATCTCTCAAAACTCTTCTAAGTAATTTGTTGGAAGCTGTTCGGGGAAAGTCCGCCACAATTTTAACAAGGCTCACCTGTAAAGTAACAAAATGAGTTTATGAATATCAAATCAATAACTTAATCATCACAGATCAGGTTAAAATTTCCATAAAATTCCAATTTCCCTTCAAACTTGGTATTTAGTGAAAGATAAGTCATTAAGTTATTGCTTTTTGGATCCTGCCACAGTTATCTCTGCTCCATTGGGTCAGAGACTAATTTTACTCATAATACTGTGACTATCATTAATCTGAAGAATTTTTGCACATAACAAGAATCAAATTCCGAATTTCTACTAAATACATCTTCCCCACAACTTGTTAGCCTAGGATGTCTAACCACGACGCCTCATTAAGTTGATGCTTTTGACAGTGTATTCAACTCAAAATCATAATTGCTAACAATCAACAAAGGGTGATACCTTAAACAAAGGATTAAGGTTGCTTTGGATGGCTTTAGAGAATTTCCTTTTTAGAGTTTCTGCATTGGAATTGTATCCTATCTTTAAAACTACAAATATTATCAGTTGTTCTGGGCCTCCATTTGCAGGAGCCACGCTGATTGCAGCTGTCTCCAAAATGCATTCATCAGCCCCATCACAAACACGCTCAATTTCTACAGAGCTAGTCTGCATATCAGAACAGAAAATTTCAAGTAACAATAACAGTCAGATTAAGGATGTCAAGGTAGGATTTTTAAGAATTTCTGATGAATCCATGATCAGATACAGGTGTAACTTCCATTCTTATTAATTCATGCAGGACCTTGACATGGAAAGATATAGGATTCTTACACCATGTGTATCCAGCACAATAGCTTTCAGAAGCTATAAACATAAATATACTGGGTGAGATGGTACCTTTATTCCCCCAAGATTCATTGTGTCATCAGCTCTCCCTTGTACAACAAAATAGCCTCCGACAGTTCTTTTGAGTACATCTCCATGTCTCCTAAGAACCTGCTTATATCATGTTAGAAATGACATATTATGGGTAAATAATCCAGTTGAAAAATCATTTATCACATTGGCACTAAGCATTTAATTGAAGTAGATACCTTTCCTTTGTACATAGGCATTCCCTTAAAGTAAACCTCTTCATTATCAGCATTAAGCAATCTATCAGTTGCTCCCATATATACAGGAAACAAGCCCACTTCACCAACACAAGAAACATCCTCTGGCTGTCATAATGATTAAAGAGATTAAACAAATTAGAAAGCCAACAAAAAATTTGTCTACACCAAGAAAGGATTGCTATTATATAAGATAATGAACATTGATTGAAAATAGTTTGGTCATGATGTAATAAGCACTTGACATCCATTATCCATTGCAACAACAAAATTATACGTAGGTATTAGCAAGATGGAAAGAAGTGTCATGTCAGTGGTAGCATAGATAATATCATACCATCGAAGATTTGAAACTACCGAGAAAAGATTCTTACATAAGGAACACCATTTTCATCAAGGATGACCAAGCCAGTTGTCATTGATGGTGTGCTAAATGCTCCAAATGCTTGAGGCTGCAGTTGACTTCCCATGATATAACAAGATGCAAGCTCAGTGCCTCCACAACATTCAATGACTGGTTTATAATAAGACTTTGAAGAAAGCCAGAGGTCATCATCAACGTTTGAAGTTTCTCCAGTTGAACAAAATGTTCTGCATATAACCACAGTTTAGTTCACTTTTTCACATGAGTTACTTAATTATTCAGACAAGAGAAATTACTTTATCTTTGTCCAATCCAAGCCCTCCATGCATTGTGTACTCTTCCAAGTTTTTACCAAGCTTGGAACCGTTCCCAAAATAGTAACACCAGCATCCTGAACAATTGTAGTTGAAAACTTGAATGATGGTGCTTTGTGCAATGTCTTAAATTCTTTGTATCTAAGTCAAGCTCTAGCTGTGAGAGTCTTCGCATGTATAACAACTAATCTAGTTCCCACTCAGTTCTATTCTACTACTAGTCAGCACTTATTTTGTTTATGGTCCCAAATTCTTTGGTGATTTTTTGGATCTATGGACATAGTCCACATAATATCTCAAATTTGATAATTAAGGACTAATTTAATTTCGTAGGATGTGACTTTTGCTAATTAAATATTATTTTAATAGGAATCAATCTTGAGAACATCAGGTTGAACATTTTTAGGTGATTAATATAATAATGACCATAGAATAATACATGTTATTATGTTAATCATAAGTAATATAGGGACCAAAATATTAGAGTTGGAGGAATCACCTGAACGAACTTTCCAAAACCATGGCCTAGAGGAGATCCATGGTATAGAGCAAGAGTTGCACCAGATAGAAAGCATGAATATATAAGAGTTGGGCCCATAACCCATCCTAAATTTGTAGGCCAGCAATAGACATCTCCAGGTTGAATATCAATAAAAGCCCATCCATCTGCAGAACTTCGTATCGGTGAAAGTTGAGTCCAAGGAATTGCTTTTGGCTCCCCTGAAAAGTAAAAAATGTAACCAGAAAATCATATCAGTGGCAGATTCTGCTTGATGTGTTCAAGGGAGAATCTCTACCTGTGGTTCCAGATGAGAAAAGTATGTTAGTGATAGAATCAATAGGTTGATAGATTGGATAGAACTGATGTGACCTGCCATGATTTAAATGTTAAGGTGAGACAACACGAGAAACAAATCAAACAATGCAACTTCTCTTTCTCTTTTTTCTGTTTTTGGTATCTTTAGAAATGACTTTTAGTTCACATAAATAACTATTTATTCGGATGAATATATGGCTTAATAGACACATTTTAATGTGCATTACCTAGGATTTGGATTTGTAGAAGAAAGAAAATCCTTCCATGATAAATCTTGTGATCTTAACTTCACTCCGAGATCATTGCCTATCACTGGCAGCACGATAACTTTACATGTAGCTGCCTCAATGACTCGACTGCAAGGAGAAATAAACAGAATGAGGACAGTGGTCATGTGTAAAACTGAACCAATGAGAGGCAATGAGGCATTAGTTAGGAACTTAACATCTACAACACAGTTTGGCCAATGAGAGGCAGTAGTCATTCGTTTCTAACCAAAATCTTTTGAGGAAAGTCTAAGCACGTCAAAATGTCAAGAAAATTACATGCAAGAAATGAGACATTTCAAGTAGAAGAATCAGATTCAAGCAGGAAT